AAAAAGTATTATTTTCTTCAGCTCTTTATTTGATTTTGTGTCCAGTGAAAATAAGAATTAAGTTCCCTTATCTTTATTTATAACAATGCTGCTTATTTATATGTTTTATTTTAACCTTTGTCATACGGTATGGTATATGTTCCTCTACGTTTTTTTTAGTGGGCTGGGCCCTTTGAAGGAATTAGCTCCATAATTGAGACACCCATCATCCAACTGGGACACATAATGCTGCCAGTACCAGGGGATTCCTCTCTTCTACAGGGAAATGGAAAGCAGTATTGATGGAAGATGATGGACACAAAACTAGAAAAAACTTATTGGAAGTTGCAAAGGACTTGAGACTTGGACTGAAACCTGTATCCAGAGCTTAAAAATAGCAAGTTGGATCTGAAACTATTCATGTGTCATTTGTAATCTAGCCTCAAACCCCATTCTATTTCAGTACTTAGAAATTGTACAGACTCTTTTCATCGAGGAAAATTTAAATTGAGACAGTGTCATAGGATTAAAAAAAAGATTTTTAATTTCACTCTTTATGTCAGAAAACGTTAAGGCACTCCTATAAAAGACGTTCTTCTGCAGAAGATTATCTTACAAATACCTTGGGGGGACTAGATCTTTCAAAGTTAAGAACTGTTTCATCAAATACTTAAAAATGGGAAAGGTTTAGGGAGTAAAACAAAGGAAATCATTTGGTACATATGCATTCTTAAATGCATATGAGTTGTTGGTCTGTTGTTTTCAAATTCATTAAACCAGCCAATATGTAGTCAAAGCCATTTAGGACACATGAATATGTGAGTGAAGTACAGAACAGAGACGAATATAGAGCAGTCATGTAGGACCTTCATCCGTTAGCTGTACTGTGCTATCACTGCCAACTGTGCTTGGCACGCACATTTGAGAACAAATACCCACTGATGTTTCAGGCTGTCCCGAGTGCCAAGCTCCTGGGTGGGAGCAGACTGATGATAGCTGCAGGGCATGGCCTAAGGAAATCAGAGAAATCTGATTCAAGACATAGCGAGCAGAGTCTGTGAAACTCAAATACAAAACAACAGATGTCTTCAAACTGCATTTACATTCCTGTGATGTATCATACTGAATAAGTGGAGGATACAAGATGTGTCAAGCTAAAAAAAATCAATACACCATGTGTAAAAACACTGTTATTTCAATAGATGACAGATGCATTATTATTTAGCTGGTCATCTCCTTTATGTCAGTCTTACCTAATAGCTGATTTGAGCCTGAAAACAAATCTAGTCAAAGATAAGCATAAATGGATATTCTTGAATGACTACATTCTTTTTAGGAGAAAACCAATGGCCATGACAGCTTGCATGCAAATTACATTATTGTCATTTGTCAACATCTCAAATACTTAATTATGCACAAACAAAACAAACAAGTAGTAAAAATCAATGTCCAAGAGCTGTTTGGACTCATATGGATTCAGGCCTATCATCACAGTGGGACAACTGCATTACTTTATTAGCCTATTACCCTAAACTCTGAATCAGTACATTAATATATAAATACAGTGGTGGCAAATTCAAGCAGCCAGAAGAAACAACTAAGATCCCTGTTCTGTCATGTTATCATCTACAAAACATCAGAAATGCCTTCTTTAATAAAATGTACTCATAATGTAAAAAGCAGAACCTACTTTAACCTCAGTAGCCTACTGCAGAAGCTCATAACTTTTCAACCTCTGTCCCACAAAACAGTATCAGCGTGCACTCATGACCCAGACAAGTGGTTTAGTATGCAAACATTTTTACAAAGTATTCTAACTATGGATATAATAATCATACTTACTCAATCCATCCATCCATCCATCGTGGTTTAGTATGCAAACATTTTTACAAAGTATTCTAACTATGGATATAATAATCATACTTACTCAATCCATCCATCCATCCATCGTGGTTTAGTATGCAAACAT